CTTCTCTTGTATTTCTAATGAATCTTGAAGAAAGAGATGAAGGCAATTGACAATAAGAGTAGCGCAATTGTGCATCCACATTTAATACACTAGTTTTTTAGCTTAGGTCATTTTTAGTTGGAAGGAGTGGCATTTTTTAAATTATAAAAATAAGATAACTAAAAAACATAATAACCAGTAAAGAATGTTTCATCATCTTTTTTAATGAATTAGAAGCGGGAAGGAATAGCAATTCCATCATCTAAACATGCCCTCATAACCCCTCACTCCCTATATCCTCACCACCCCTCCTCCCCCCACCCTTCCCTATTCCTCATAAATTAACCATTTTAGCTCTTCTCTTCTCTTCCTTAGCCTTCTTCATTTTTGCCTCCCACAAAGAATATTTCTTTGGTATCCAATTGCCCACTAATTAGCCTCCTTTAAATGTTTTTGGCATATAAGTTGTTTTCTTGTTTCTTTGTTTTTCTTTTGACAAATTAAGTTGTTTTTATTTCATAAGTGTTTGTCCTCAACAAATCTTGTGTTAATACAAATATTTGAATGGAATACTCTACTTTTAATATATGTACTTTAATATTTTCTCCTTTGGATGAAAAAAAAATAACTTCTAAGATTTGTGCTAGTTTTTGACAACATTCTTCGAGCATGTCCTTAGAAAGAAATGTAGCTATTTCATCCCCTTCTTCCAAGAGACTGATATCCTTTTAGATAGACTTATATGTGGCATCATATGAGGCATAAAAAATGATAAGGTGAGTTTTCTTGTCAATTATAGTGCAATAAGGAGATTCTTGATTTATAAGTCTCAATTCAAATGGGTAATTAGCAACATATTTTGTTTTGCTTTCAGCATTATTATGGGATGTAATATTGAGCTTATCCTAGACGGTTTCATTAAACATGACAAGTGATGGTCATAAGGGAAGCATGAATGTGTCGTTCAACTACAACCTCTATAAGGACTTCCCTCCTAGACATAATGGAACCAAAAAATGATCCCAAGAATCTTGTATGCATCATCCAAGACATATTTCTTCCTTGATCTTTAAAATGCTTATACAAATGTAGAGTCTCCAAATAAACGGTTGAATTTAAAAAGATCATAACACTTATATCTTAGTGTGCCTTTTATGGCCATAAAAATATCTAGCATCAGTTACAGCTTAGGAGCTGGAGAAATCAACTCAAGCAATTCTTCATTCCAATACTTTCCTTTTTTTGAACGGCAAAAAATAATATTTATTATTAAAAAACGGAATACAAGGGTACCCCAAACCCATTAACATCCCAACTTGAAAGGCATAAATTTACATGAGTCAATTAGCCATTCTGTGTGGTGTCGACACCACGTACGTGTCGGAATCCTGATGCCTGTAGTATGGTGTCGACACCACACCCATGTCGGGTTTTTGTCCTCTTTTGCAATTTTTCCATTTCTCACTTTTCTGACCAAACCCAATGAATTCTGGGTGCTTACTGTCTAGAGTCAACACCAAAATTATGTGTCGACACCACACCCGTGACGGGATTCTGTCCTCTTTTGCAATTTTTCCATTCTGTCATTTTCCCTTATTATTTTCTCCATCATCACTAAATTCATCAGTCCTTTCTGCTTCTTCATCCTCATCTAATCATCTCAAATTTCTTTCTAAGTGCTTTAAAAAATAATTTTTACACATCAGTACCTCGTTTTATATGTCCTGCTCGCTCTTTTCCTTTTCCTTCCACTGTTAACTGTAAGACATGTAGTTGGATTATTAAGCCAATCAGAAATGGTAAATGTGCATCTTGCCTTTCTTGCTTTAATCCATAAAAAAGCTCTCAATTGTATGAGTTCCAGTATCTTTTCTTTTTTCTGCTCTGATTGTTGAAAAATCTTCTGATTTCTTGCTAACCACACCGACCAGACCAGAGCATTCCAGATGCAGTCCCAGCCTTCTTTAATGCGTGAATCTTTGTTCCTTTCCCCGAGCTTCTTGAATGTATCCCAACAATTATTCTCCAGCCTTACATTGATTCCCCACCACGCTGCACATGCCTTCCACAACCACTTGACCAACCTACATTTTAAAAATAGGTGATCCGAATCTTCCCCCTCTGCTTCGCACATGACGCACTTGCTGTCTTCCCATCCTTTAGCCCATCCTTTAGCACATCCTCTTTTTAGTAGATTGAGTTTGGTTGGGATTCTATTTAATAAAACTTGCCAATTAAATGCTGCTATTTTATTTGGAAGAATTGGATTCCACACCCTCTTAAAAGTTGAAGCTTCATTTAATCCATCGTGATCTTTTATCAACATTGAGTAAGCTGATTTGGTTGAGTACTTGCCATCATTGTTGTGTGTCCACAGCCACTTGTCTGGGCTTCCTGGTGAAATTCTAGTATCTTTGATCATGACATTGAGCTCCTCTGCACTGTCAGCTTCCCATTCGAACAGGCTTCTTCTCCAGGCCAAGTCCCATTTCCACATTCCGTCCTTTGTATTGCCCATTTGATTGCATTTCTTCTCCTTACCTGTTGATAAGATATATAGTCTCAGAAATCTATTAGCAAGACATCCTTCCCCGCACCAATTATCCCACCAGAAACTCACCTTAGTTCCCTCTCCTAGTTGTATCCTAAACCCCTCTGCTGGCCACCCTTCTCTGTCTCTTGCTATTGTGTCGAGACAACACACATCCCTCCACCATAATGAGCCTACACCTCTACCCTCTCTTACCCAATCCATCCAATTATTCCTCTGATTCCCGTATTTTCTTTTAATAAGTTCTCTCCACAAACCCTCATCATTTGATGCTAACCTTCCCCACCATTTACCCATTAATGCTAAATTAAACTTCCTCAATTCCTTCACCCCCAGCCCTCCTCTTTCTTTTTGTTCACATACCTTCTCTCAACTTACCCAATTAATTTTTTTCTTTTCACCCATCCCACCCCATAAAAAAGATCTACAAATTTTATCAATAGCAAGAAGTATACCTTTCGGGATTAGGTAAATCGACATCAAGAAGACGGGCAAGCTATTCTTCATTCCAATACTTATTTACGGTAGAAAAATAATATATCATATGTATAGAATGATAAAGTAATGTAAGATCAAGAAATATTGCTCCCAAATGTCGTTTAGTTTAGTTGTTAAAGAAGAATTTATAATTTTTTTATGAGCTTTAA